CTTGCCGGTCTTTATTCGATAAGGATTTTGAGAAAGTGTTGCATCCTGGTATTAAAAGATGATGGTTGTAACGATAGCTCAATTGCAGATCTATAATTGATCCAAGTTGATCAAGAAGCAAGAATGAAGAGACAGCCACATGACCATAATTTTACAGACAGCGTACATGAAGTAGACCCGCAGGCTAGCTCAATAAAGAGAGTAATCCCTCCTACACTGTTTTCCTACAAATACGATAATCCTTTTGTAACAATTTACCCAGATATTTGTTTGAGCAGAGAAAGGGAAACGATAGATATATGCAGTTAGTCTAGAGTAGCTGTAGCTTATACTTAAAGTCTGCAGTTTCTTTATGCATGTGAGTTTACCAGAGCTATCGAGATCAAAATATAGAGAATGAACAAGCCATCAAGCTGATAAATGTCACCAGCTCAGTGGTGTCCTGCTTCACTAGTACATACGTGCGGTCTTCTTCAGAAAGCACATTTCCGTCTTTAGTCAACTTTTAATTGCTTTTCTCTTTGTATGGACGACCTCTTGTCCTTCCCGCGCACCGCGTAGCATGGCAATTGATGAGCAAGAACAACATGAAGAACTAGTATTCAAGAAATGAGCCACCGAGTAAAGGGGGATTCTTCGCAACTTCATTGCAGCGCTCCGCCGTAAGCTCTGGGGACATCTTAGCTCGTTTGAGAGCCCTCCAGAAAATGAGAACTCACCTAAAAGTTTATTCAGCGTTTCTCTGGCAAGTGCCAGATAAATAACACATATGAGATCTACTATCTCAGTCTTAGTCGGTCCAATACCCATGTCAATAATACTTGAACTCGAAAATGATATTATGTTTCCAGCTTCATAGAAGCTGAATTTTGTAGCAAGTTCTCTTGTTGGGCTCTGGAATAATTGCTTTAAGCACTTCTTCTTCAGATGCACTTCTTGCGATGGCTTTATCGCAGCCTGAACCCTAAGACGAATTCCTGGAAACTTGATTTCCCCTTTTCTCTTCTTATAGGTATAGTTGTTCTTCAGTGATACGAGTAGCAGACTTTCCAGATGACTCTCTTCCCCCTCGTAACTTCCAGGAAGCAGGATCACTTGAGTCGGATGGGCTCGGCTTATATGGTGTAGACTATCCAGACCTGTTCCAATTAGGACAGGACAGCCACCGTGATCAGTAACTTCTTGTAGCCATCTCTCGTCCTTGAAAATAGCTGTCCACAACCTTTGACATGCAAGATCCTTTGTGCACGGGGCTATGCTCAAAGCATCAAATACTGCAGCTGCAGGAAGTGG